GTCCCCCGCCCCCGCCCCCGCCATCAGCAGCCGCATGACGTCGTCGCAGCGGCCATGCAGCTTCAGGGCAGCCAGGTCGTCCTTCGGGGTCCACTGCGGGGGCGACACCAGACCCGCGGCTGCAGGAGCCTCCCCGCACGCCCCCGGGCTCCCCGCATGCCGGCAGCGTCTGTTCGGCCCAAACCCCTCAGACCCCGTGCAAAAGGCTCTCACCTGCAGGTTCACGATATACAGCTTTGGGCGACGAGTGGGGGGCTTGCTCATGCACCAAAGACGTGGGTATTTTTTCAAAACCTGCCACAAAATAAGAGATATCAGCACAGCCAAAGGCACGCGTAACTGTGAACCGTATCAGCGAGAGGAAAAGGAATGTATTACCAGGAGGGGAAAGAGGGAGGAAGAGAGACTATCACAGATGGTGGGCGAATCCTGACACCAGAGTTTACAGTTGTCTGTTTGGGAGGAGACTGCTCAGCACCAAGGTGTATCACCAAGAGGGAATGCTGCTAACAATCTTCACCGAGTCTCTAAAGTTACCTTTAAGCTGGAACCCAGACAAAGAATCACATCTGCTTTGCTTGCAGCTTCTGTTGCTGCTTCCCAGTTCAGGGGCTGTCTCAACGTCCCCTTCTCCCCAAAGTGGACGATTGTATCTCTCAACTGTGCCCCACACTTGTGGCACATCCTGCCAGTGTGATGCCTGTGCAGGGCTGTGCGCTCTGTCACATCAAATACTCGCACGTACTCTCTGTTGGGCGTACAGGAAGTGCAGACCTGGTGCGGGGCGAAAGCAAAAAACCCATTACATCATTAGCATCCAGCCCGTGAAATGCCAGGAGCCAGCTGCTTCGCTCCGAAGAAAAGTACTTTTTGGGGACAATAAATTGGAAGCAGAAGGGAGCACCAGGGATCAGAGGCTAACTCGGAAAAAGCTTAGAACACCCCAACTAGCAAGCGGAGTTACAGGAGCCTGTTGGCTGCGCGATAGGAGGGATTTCAGAGAAGGCCTGAGGAAGAGCAGCCAGAAGCAGAAGGCTCTAGCGAGTAGAGAGGAAAAGCTGCCGAGCTGTGCACAACACCCAGGTTTGGTGCTCACTGACTAGTTCAGCCCCAGCCCAATGGCCTGAAGACAAGACCTAAGCACAGGCTGGCCCTTGTACTAACTCTTCTGGAGCTCGTGAGAGAAACCATTCGCATAACCTTCTCGTGAGGCCACTAGGCAGTAACTTCGCCCTGTTCCAGCCACTCACCTCGATGTACATGTTCCCATGAAGCTCAGATATCGCTGCGCGGGGTAACCCACTCCGCAGGTGCAGCCCATCACAGTTTTGAGAGACCACGTGCTGCACCTTGAGGAGAATAAAACAGCGAGCTAACACACACGCAGAGACTGCGAACGCGTCACTCCAACGCAGGTGGCACGTGCGTCTCGCTATGCACCAAACAGCCCCAGACGTCAGCACAGCACTAGCAGCAGGAACACGTGGAGAGCAGGCCTTTAGGGCAGCTAAATGACTCCTCCTGCTCCACAGAGCTGTACTGGGTCTGGCTGACTGTGGCCAGGTCCCCAGGCCAGCCTCACCGGGCGGGAGATACAAAGGTGCTAAAGGAAACGCACCGGGGGGAAAACTGCCAGAGCTACAGCCTGGAGCCAGCCTAGCGAAGGCGCAGCTGTACGTGAGCACGGATGCTTTTTCCTGCGTGGATGTGTAGCCACCCGAGCGAAAACAGTCGCTAGGCAATCTCATGAAAAGCTTTCTTCCCCTGCTGGGTTTTATTTATCATACTCAGAGGAACGTAAGCGAGGTGCGGAAAAAGTAACTTACCAGGTTGTGCTTGTGTAGGCAGGCAATGCTCATGTGGGTGAGCGTGGGCTCTGCCTCGCTCAGATCTGTGGCCCTAACAGGAAGCAAGGGAGGAAAATAAAAAAGAAGTTGGATTTGCCATTAATCTCTTGTTCAGAATCAGCTTTCTGCTACACAGCTCAGAATTTCTCTTTACCTGATGCTCCTGCCCTTCTGCAGCAATGTCCATATACCATTGGGGCCTCTATAGTCTGGGATTGACGCTGCCTGTGGTACCGGGAGAGAACAAGCAAGGCCTGACGGGAAGGTTCGTACCTCTTGTCCACAAACACACTAACCCGGTCTCACTCGGGACAACCAGATACACCTCATTTCATGGGTGTTTTATCATTCACTCCAAGTCTTCTCCCCATCTAGCAGGACCTTGACGGGCTCGAGAGGTGGGCCCGTGCAAACCTCATGAAGTTCAACAAGGCCAAGTGCAAGGTTCTGCGCGTGGGTCAGCACAATCCCAATCACAGACACAGGCTGGGCAGAGAATGGATGGAGAGCAGCCCCAAGGAGGAGGACTTGGGGGTGTTGGTTGATGAGAAGCTCAACATGAGCCAGCAATGCATCCTTGTGACCCAGAAGGCCAACCGTATCCTGGGCTGCATCAAAAGCAGCGTGGCCAGCAGGGCAAGGGAGGGGATTCTGCGCCTCTGCTCCACACTGGCAAGACCCCACCTGGAGCATTGCACCCAGCTCTGGGGCCCCCAGCATAAAAAGGACGTGAACCTGCTGGAATGAGTCCAGAGGAGGGCCACAAAGATGATCAGAGGGCTGGAGCACCTCTCCTATGAGGACAGGCTGAGAGAGTTGGGGTTGTTCAGCCTGGAGAAGAGAAAGCTCCGGGGAGACCTTATAGCTGCCTTCCGGTACCTGAAGGGACCCACAAGAAAGCTGGAGAGGGACTTCTTACAAGGACATGTAGTGACAGGAGAAGGGGTAGTGGCTTTAAACTGAAGGAGGGTTGACTTAGATTAGGTATAAGGAAGAAATTCTTCGCTATGAGGGTGGTGAGGCGCTGGAAGAGGCTGCCCAGAGGAGTTGTGGATGCCCCATCCCTGGAAGTGTTCAAGGCCAGGCTGGATGGGGCTTTGAGCAACCTGGTCTGGTGGAAGGTGTCCCTGCCCATGGCGGGGAGCTGGAACTGGGTGATCTTTAAGGTCCCTCCCAACACCAAACCATGCTCTGATTCTAGCGCAGCCATTCCCTAATCACAGGAAAAGCTTTTCTGAAGATTTCTCTCTCCCTAGCATCTTTTCTCTTACCTTATGGCTCTCATTTTCACCTCCAGTATTTATTTTCTCCAATTTCACCATTATGGAATCCCCCCAGAACCCTTCCCCCCCCCCCCTTGGTAATTCCCATTTCCCTAAACAAAACTCAATTCTTGAACCTTTCCTTATTTTCACGAAACTCTGGTTTCTGGTACCTTGCACTCAGCGTTATTTAGCAAAAAGAACTGTGACATTACCACTCTCACACCCTGCCCAGAATCATGCTCCATATCAACAGAGACTGTAGAAAAGGGAAAGAAAAATAAGCCCCCTGTCTCAGAATTCAGACCCATGTCACATTAGAAGAGGCAGAACCAGATTTTCACTCTCCCAACAGAGGCCACTGAAACCAACCACTTCTTAAACTGTCATTTATAAGTTCTGATGACCACCAGCTATTCCTACTTGTCCGTTAACACAGGCAACATTAACAAGCTAATAATTTGGAGCTAGGTTTTACACCAGAAGTAGCTGAAGAAACTTGAATGAAGTAAGACTAGCGATCCTCTCATTTAAGCAGCACGTTCTTCACACAGTCACAGAGGTGACGCAGCCTCAGGATCTCCTGGGCAGCAGGCACAGCCCCAAGATGCAAACTAGCAAATGCCTTGGTCACGGTCTGCAGCGCAGCCACGTTATCACAGCATCCCAGACCCGTAACACGCATCACGCAGTCATTTGGAAACCACAAAAAAAGTTCAAACAACACTGCAATGCTCCTGAAGGACCTCCCAAAGCTCTGACCACTCACCCCCAAAGAATCCTACCGTACTGATCCCGGCTCCCGTATAGATGACAAGGTGCTTGGCATTCCGGACAACAGCAGCCAGCTCAGTAGCCTTTCTCTTTAACTCCTCTGGTTCATCACATACCTGGAAAATGCAACTGAGCAAGTTCATGTGTCTCTCAGATACAGCGCATCATCGAATCGGAAGGAACAGGGAGCTCCCTGGAAGCTTTAATGCGGGCCTAGCCTCACCAGAAAAAGTGACACAAGCATTATCAGAAGTGGTTTCTAAATAAAAGAACGTGGGTGCTGCCCGTATTGTCCATGGAAGATCAAGGGGAAGATCTCCCTGGAGAGCAGCACAGGCAGATCCATCGCCCCGAGATGTGCCCGCACA